ATAGGCAAACACCCTGGTTGTTGACTTTTACTGGTCGTGGTGGTGGAGCTCTGTCTTAATGGTGGAGGAGAGCTTAGCAGAAACCATTGCCTGCCTGCCTGTCTGCAGACACTTGTCCTTTAATTAAAAGGGAAACCAATTGCCCCGTCCGAGGTGTGTATGTGTGTGAGCTACTCTACGACTCTCGAGTGCCTGTATACTTTGCTTTTAAGTATCGTTCCGTTGTACATAAGTGCAGCAACTTGGCGTGTGTGTAGCTAATATAAACAAAGTGCGCTGTTCACACTGCAACGACGACTAACTTGCTAAGGCTGACAATAAAAAAACAGCGCCAGAGGGCTTGTTTTCTCATTCCCGCAAATGGCCGAACATAAGACGACGAATACGAACAGACATTACGAGGGTTGGCCAGAAAATGATGGCAACACTTACATGAACTGCTCTGCGAGTTGGAGACGCCAATTTGGTGGCTGATGGTGACGAGCAGCAGGTAAAGAGGTAGAAGTGTGCTCAGGCGGTGATGGCACAATTGGACGGCAATTGGCCTCAGTTGGCTGATGATCTTCATCACTGAATGGTGGTGGTGGTGTTGGTGGCGGTTGTGGTGGTGGTGGTGCATGGCGAGGTGCAAGGAGGTGAGCGGAGGGCAGTGTTGTCGATGGCACAGAGCAGAGGAAAAGGTGAGGAAGATGCTCGGTCATCGAGGTGAAAAAACAGGTAGCAGGTCTAGTCTAGTGGAAGAGCTAAGACATGGCAGTTGTCTGCCTGAGACATGGCGAAGAGGGGCCTGTTGCCAGGGTGCTGAGGATGCTTGCTGATTCTGGTCATCACATTAGAATGCGAGAAGATGCGTCCACTAGGGGCACTGACAGAGATATTGATGATGATGATGATGATGACGAGGATGAGGATGATGGCCGAGGTGACAGGGAATGAGCGGCACTAGAGGACAACATCGCTGGCAGTGGCACCAGACGACACCAGCACCGGGAACGCTAGTTTGACGACGTGGGTGCCCACGTAATGGACGCTTGGAAGAGACCAGTCCCGGTGACTCATAGGGAGAGTCAACAGAGCCACTGTGGCGGGTGAGAGGTGCTGCCAGAGGAAGGGAATGAGAGAATGAAGGAGCCCGGACACGAGGCGACGAGGCGGCTTGGAACAGACTGAAACACAACGCCGAGATCGGAGCTGAACTGAACTGAACTGTCAGGAGAAGCTGCTGCTGGAGAAGCGCCAGCGGATCAAAGCAGCAGAAGCAGTGGCGGCTGTGATCGCCAGTGAATGCACAGAAACACACACTCTCTCTCACAACGCAGAGAGAGTGTCAGTAGAAGGGGCAGCCGTCTCTGTTGGATTCCAGCGTCGGCCACAGTGGAACGTGTTAGCAGCACTGGCCAGACTGCCTTCAGCTCACTGATCTGCTCTCTCTCTCTCTCTCTCTCTCTCTCTCTGCTTCGACCCTCTACCCGCTGCTGCTGCACACCCGACATGCTGCCCCTCTGCCCTCCAGCAGACTAGCTCTCCTGCCTTCCTATCAAATCTGCCGCTGTGGTCTCGTGGTTCGACTAGCTCTGAGGTGCCAACTCGTCGGTGATGCTTCTGCCGTTTCGGAGGTAGCAGTAATGTGCTGCCTCGTCTGCACTGCTTCTCCTCCTCCCTCCCTCCGTTCCAGAGCCAACTTTTTTCGGATCGCTTTTGGCGCACTTTTAGCANCCCTCTACCCGCTGCTGCTGCACACCCGACATGCTGCCCCTCTGCCCTCCAGCAGACTAGCTCTCCTGCCTTCCTATCAAATCTGCCGCTGTGGTCTCGTGGTTCGACTAGCTCTGAGGTGCCAACTCGTCGGTGATGCTTCTGCCGTTTCGGAGGTAGCAGTAATGTGCTGCCTCGTCTGCACTGCTTCTCCTCCTCCCTCCCTCCGTTCCAGAGCCAACTTTTTTCGGATCGCTTTTGGCGCACTTTTAGCAGCTAACACCAGCCGGCTAACTGACGATACTGGAGGGGGATAAAATGCAACCTTTATTGGGTGNAGCTAACACCAGCCGGCTAACCGACGATACTGGAGGGGGATAAAATGCAATTTTTATTGGGTTTACTGGGTAGATGTAGAACTTTTGAATATCATTTGTAAGTTTTGTATATGTGTTGTGCTGTACGGATGAGTTTAAGGATTATTGTAGTCTGGTAGTTAATGAGCCCTTTGATGAGAGAGCTCTACATGAGCGCAAAAATAAAATAAAGATAATATAAAAAGTCAAACATGGGCAGAGCAGATGTCCGGCAGCAGCAGCAGCACAGGTCTACCACCTGAGGCGGCCGGTCGGTCGTCGCTCTTCTGCGTACAGTGTGTGTAATAATATAGAGAGGCAAGTGAATTCATGAGTGTGTAAACTAAATGTCACGGAAAAAGATGATGAATAGTGGTGTGTGGTTGTTGAATGCATCGAAAGTAATAGTAAAAGTAAGAGGGATATAGTGGCATATCTATGGAAATGTGCAATGAGGAGGAAATATATCGGAGGCTTACTTTCTTGAACGGTTGTACGGTGATACAAGGAGAGCCAGCGTTATCAGTAGTGTAATAGTGCAGTAGTCGCCTCACAAGCTGAAAAAGGAAAAAATCTGCCTTCAAGTTTCGGTGCCGGGCAGTAGGCACACACACCCAATCACACACTACTTCCTCCCACGTCCTCGACCGCGTCCACGACTCCGAGTCGTTGGCTCTGGCTCGGGAGAAGGCGACAGTCGCACTGGAGACCTGTGTTCAAGAGCAGTGTCAAGTGGGGTCGTTGATAGAGAAGCAGCGTAAACTTACCGGATCGTTTTAGCGATGCGGAGCGATTTGCGAGGAGGTGATGTGTCGTTCTCACGAGCCCGACTTGATGAAGCAGTGGTGGCAGCGGCGGCTGCAGCGGCAGTAGCAGCAGCTGTCGCTTTCGAAGGAGGACGACCTCTCTTGGGACGTGCCTCCGCCTCTTCCGCCGGCGCCTGCTCCGTTGTCCTGCCCTCCGAAGCCTGCTGGGCACCTCCGTCCCCGGTGTTGCTGTCATCAAAGTCGTACTCTGAACGCTCTGCCGCGCTCTTCTCCGCGGTAGAGGAGTTCGCTTCACCCTCGGCCAGTGAATTGGCTTCGGCCTCATTGTCCGAGTTCATGACAATCTGCTGCTTGCGCGAACGTGTCGGGTGCTGTGCAGTGCTGTTGGCCGCATCGCCCTCGATGATAAACTCATCGATTAGTTCAGTTGAAGTGTTGGCCTTGTGTCGGAGCGGCTTCTTTGCCTACAAGCAAACGATCGAATATAAAACCATTTCCAGGATACTAAAACAAATAAAACTTACGTGTGAGTTTTTAGACATTTTCCCGAGCATTTCAGTCTCAAGTCCGCACTTTTTCGGAGGAGCAAACTGCATCGCAGGTGGCAAGTAGCTCTTGGTGCCGTTTTCAGTGTCATGAGAAGCTGTTGTCAGATGTTGAAACAAATTGTAAATTGTAAAACAAATACACTAGAAATAGAAGTTTAAAAGGAAGGACACTTACGTGAAAAGTATTTTCCAGGCAGGCTAGGTTGCACAGGAAAGTCTTTGAGTAGAAAGTTCTGCGTCTTACTCATAACCAGGCCCATTGCGAGGTCACAAGCGGCCCAAATTCTGTAGTTGGTATGCGTAGCATTGCTAGAAACAACCGGATCTACCGCTGGATTCCTGTAGTTAGACGCCGTGATTCGATCAATACAGTGCTTCATGTTTTCAAAGGTTTTCTTGAAGAAGGAAAATGAATACAGTTCATTCTTGAGAACCAGCGACTCCATGGCGAACCACAGGCAATCTATAGAGCATTTATAAAAGCAGTGTTAGAAAAAAAACTTTAAGTAAAAACCACCTTCAACTCACCCTTAACCTTCTCAAGCTGCTCCACGTCGTCGTACTGACTGAAGAAGGGCATATGAGCGATGAGGTGAATGACGAAGGGCATGACACAGTCAGGAACGATACTCTTCAGATTGGGCGTCACTCGCGACTTGACGAGATCTCGACGCTTCACGTAGTTCACGTTCAGGTAGTTCCTGATCTTGGTCTTAAAGTTGTTGTTCTCAAAAAGCCCTCCCAGGGAGAGGAAGGCTAAAAACTCCAGGCCCAAGTTGAGAGAGAGTAGGCCCTTCTGCAGCTTGGCGAGGAACTTCTCCTGAACAAACTCCTGCTCGTCGAGGAGGGTGGTCGCCAGGCAGTGCCACTGCTGAGCCGTCATAATGTCCAAGGTGGTGGCGCACTTCTGGAAAACGGGCTCGCTGTTTGAGTTGATCGACGAGAGGGCGTCATTGGAGGCGATCTTGATCATGGCATTGGCGGCTGTCAGTCGCATGTAGGCCTTCTCGAGAGTGGTGCCACCACGGCCATTACCATTCAGGTCACCACCATTCTGAATGATGGTCTTCAGTAGTTGAAGGGCGTTGGTAGCCGCCTTTTGATAGTAGCCTACAAAAGTGGAAAAAAGTGTGGGTCAATACACAACAATTTTGAACAACTAAAAACATTCTGAAAACATACTGTGAGTTTCTTCCTGAGTCTCATGTGGAACTGAAAATTTGAAAAACAAATATTAGAACTGATGATGATGATGCAAAATGAAATAAAAACCCACCCATAATGGAATTCAACTTGAGTCCGTAAATCCACCTAACCAGCAGTTTGATTCCTTCACACTTGGCCTTCACCTCGGCGCTCAAGCCCTCGTACACAACATTGACGTCAGTGGTGGCACTCTTCTCCTTTTCAGTGTTCTGAAGCGTTTCAATCTCGTGCTCAGTTCGAACGTCCTTCAGCAACAGCCCCTGCACGATAAACTTCTGTACGATGGAGCGTAGCATCTTGGGAAAGTACACGTAGCCACCATTGATGGCGATCATTCCGAGGGCAACTAAATGCACTTGAAAGAATGGAGTGCTAGTGAGGGAAAGCTCCGCCGACTAAAAACAAAAGGGGAGAGTAAAGTTATAGAGAGGTGAATATAGTAAGCCGGCTTCCGCCTTACCTTGATTTTGTCAATGATTTCCCCAAACACTCTAACTTTAGTGGTGTCATCCAAAATGATGGCGTTCAAACACTGGACGGCGTACTTGGCCTGCTTGGTCGTTGCAGCTACAAATAAAACAAAAAATTGTTAGTTTTGCTACGAATAAATGTTCTCAGCTATCGTACCATTGAGGATGTACTTGTCCACTAGTCGAGTAATGAACTCCTCATTTTCCGCCCACCAGGGAACGGTGGTATTCTCCAACGCCTCCATGCTGTCAGAGAAGGCAGTGGCGCCAATGTTGGTGAGAATCTGCAGCACTGTCTCGGCAATCTGGTGCTGTGTTCCACACTGCCAGAGGAAGGGCAACAGGTAGGCGTTGAAAATCTCACGACCGTGAAAGAGAGCCGGAAACACATTCGATAGAGTGTGAATCAGCTGCAGTCCTCGCAAGGCTGAGTTTCGCAGGCCCATCTGATTGTCGAGCTCTCCGTCGCCGATGAGCGAGTCAGAGACGTAGTTGAAGAGCATCAGCAGCCCCTGGTGGTCGATCATGATGGGGGCAATGCGCTCCATCAGCTGCTTGATGATCATGTAGAAGGAGTTTGTCTGCACGGGGAAGCCAAGCGATTTGAGAATCTCTCGAACCGACTGCTCAATGACCGAGCTGTTGGCCGGTGCGATGCACTTTCCGTCTTCGGTCATTTGAATGAAGGAAGCCGATGTCACAATCAGATTCATGTGCTGCTTGGCAGTCATGTTGGTTTCTACGCAAAAAAAGAAGACTACAATTAAAAAAGAAAGTATTGGAAAAGGGAGAACAAAACAAACCCAAGTTAAGACAGAGCTTGTTGATGTACTCCTCCGACTTGACGGGCTCAGTTAGATTCTTCGCCACAATGGCCACCTTGGCCTTCAACTGCAAGTCTCGGTCTTCCACCTTGTCAACGCGGCTAAATAAGGAAACATATGTAGTGGCGAAAAGTGGTTAAAAAGCGCCAATTCTTACCATAGAATGTCCATCACGTCCTTCATCTGTCGGCGGACGCCCTGCTGCTGCTTGAGGAGCTCATTGAAGGCGCGCGACGCATTGCCGTCAATGGAGCAGTAGAAGACGTAGAGGGCCTTCATGCGCTGCGTCAGCGGCAGCGAGAAGGGAATGAGACAGGTGTGGAGAATGCGCTCCACCAGCAGCTTGTCCTCCAGCTGCGTCTGGTAGTAGTTGTGCATGCACTTGTTCTTGATCCAGCTCAGCATTCGCAGCGAGCCCTGCGCCTCATCGGAGACCACCTCCTCGTTGTTGGCCAGGTGAAAGTTGTACTGCTTGTACAGCTGCGCCATGCCGAGCAGCGCCTCACGGCGGATCTTGAACTTCTTGTCCAGTGTGCGCTCCTGCAAACAAAAGTTATTGTCGTAAAACTCCATCTTTTTCCCATTCGCCTTACCTTGACAAACTCCAGCAGGCACTCATTGATGTTCTCAATGCCCNCCTCACGGCGGATCTTGAACTTCTTGTCCAGTGTGCGCTCCTGCAAACAAAAGTTATTGTCGTAAAAATCCTCTTTTTAAAAAAAGCCGCTCGCCTTACCTTGACAAACTCCAGCAGGCACTCATTGATGTTCTCAATGCCTTTCTTGCCGGCGGAGATGATGGCCATGACCACCTCGTAGCGGACGTTCTCGTCGGCGTCATGCTGACGCTGTCGCAGCTGCTCGGTAATGTCCATGCGAAGTTCAGGGTGGTTCACGAGAAAGTGCATTGAGTACTGGACGCAGCGCACTCGCACCGTCACGTTAATGTCGCGGAAACGGCCCAGAAATGACTTCCATATCTCCTGATAGCGGACAGCCAGTTCGGAGTTCTTGTCGGAGAAGAGTCGAGCCAGCAGCTTGGTGTATTCGCAGCGTTCCTTCTCCTCGTTGCTCTTCAACTTGAACTCAATCATCGGTATGGTGCTCTGAACCAGGGCAGGGCAAATCTGATTCAGCTCGTAGATTAGCTCGCAAATCTGCGGAATGGACACAACGTTGTTGGCTTGCTTTTTCTTGTTATTCTTCCCCTTTGGATCATCGGCGTCGTTGTCATTGCTTGCCCCCTCATCGTCAGAGGCGTCGCCGTTTTCGTTTACGCCCCTGGTGATGGCCTTTGAAAAGTACGTTTGCAGGTACGGCTCCATGGTGGCACAGGTCTTGATGAGAATCTGCGATGCTAGCCAGTAGGCTTGCTTGTTGGTAGTCTAAAAAGGAGAATAATGCTGATGAAGAAATACACACAAACCATTTACGAAATTTACCTTCTTTGGGTCAATCACTTGGAAGAGAATAATCTGAAGCAATTTAGTCGACACTGTGTCAGATTCGGAAATCAGTGGTGTCAACATGTCCAGCATAAAGTTCTTCACTTTGTCACTGTGATTTTCATTGACAATCTAAAGAGTCAAAAGATGTTTTAGAAGGATGAAACATGTATGTCGAAAACAAAGTTACTTTGAAAATGAGCGAGAAAAGCTCACAGAAAATATGCTGAGACTCCTCGAGCTCAATGCAGATGTTAAACGATTTGACCCAGGCAAGATTCTGTCGATGATCGAGATAAAATACATTAGGTTGACTGATTATGGAGTCAAATTAAGTGAAACAGACCTCAAGAAGATAGAAGTAGCGCTTGAAGGTGGCGTCTTTTGGATCTTGCAAACCCCTCAGCTGTTGAATAAAAAAGAGAAAGATTCTCCTGATCATGTCCGACGTTTCGTAAGGGGCATTCGGTGCGTAGACTCGAAACACATCGGCAATAGAGCAGGCCACCAGAAGGCGGACATCTCGTGAATGGTGTTCGAGAAAGTAATCATTAGCTGCAACAACCATTAATTAGAAGACATGGCGAAAAGAGTTGGCAAGGCACATACCAAGGTACAAGGCCAGTGGCACGAAGTTCTGGTTGTTCTCCTCCTGGGACATTTGCTGGAAGGCCATGGCAATGTCTTTGAGCCTGTGAAGAAGAACCACCATGGATTCAAATGAGTTAGGACAATGTAAAAATAATGAGATGGCGCCATTTTGGTGCCCACCGAATCAACTGAAGTATAAACACAGATAGCGTCAGTGGGCCTTTGACAGACTGCCGGCGCTGTTTGAGCCCGTGTCAGCCTCAGAACGTCGCCGGAAGTGGTTCACACTGGCGGTGTTTGCTGACTGGGTCATGGGGTGAAACTGCAAATTGAGCACTTACCTTCGGATTAGATCGTCGGTGCTCAGCTCCTCGTTGATGTCCTTACATCCTTGCGGGTACTTAATCTCCGCCGAGCGAATGCCGTGGTTTGTTGCCATCTTGAGGCGTTTGAACAGGCAGGTTTGGGTGGTATTTTGCAATTAACCGATGAGATGGGCCATTTAACGACTATCAGCCCAGTCTACGTTGGGGTAACTCAATCGGCTTTGTACTGATATTCTCTCTGAGCAGAAACGAGCACGGTCTGTGGCCGCCAGGCAGCGCTGATGCTGATGGTCGCGCTCAGACCGCGCAATTTAACGGCCAAAATCTCCCGGGCATTCCGCCACTCGCCCACGACTGACGCCCACTCTAGATCTGACCAGCCGATAGTCAGCCACTTATTGGACGCTAAAAATATTTTCCGGAGTTCTGAAAGTACCCAATTTCCCTTGTTTTCTCCTTCTCTCGTTCTCAGATCCCACCTTGGTAACGTCTTCTGCTGACGTTCGCTTTATTGTGAATTTTTGGTGTGCCTCTCTCTCTCTCTCTCTCTCTCTTTCGCTTTCTCTTTGGAAAGCTCCATTTGAATCGCACTTCAGAGCTCCTGCTGTTGCTGCCTTTTCATCCCCTTGCATTCCCTTTGCATCACTTCTCCGAAAGTCCAGCACCATGAGCAAGGCACACCCACCGGAGCTGAAGAAGTACATGGACAAGCGACTGTCACGTAAGTGTTTGCTTTTGGTGGCTGTTTGCCGGTCGGTACCTAAACCTCATCTCTCTTCTCTCTCTTTCAGTGAAACTGAATGGCAGCCGGCAAATAAACGGCATTCTGCGAGGCTTTGATCCCTTCATGAACCTGGTCATCGACGAAGCGGTGGAGATTAACAAGCGCAACCAACAGGTGCCCATCGGCATGGTGGTCGTCCGTGGAAACGCCGTCGTCCTCCTCGAATCACTTGACCGAATTGCCTAGCCCCCGCAATCCGCCACCGAATTATCTCTTGCACACTCCCTCATCTCTCTCTTTTTGTACAGTCGTAAGCAGCATGTCTGGATGCTGTTCTTATTCAAAATGTTTAACTCACTATTAAAGCAGCAGTACGTATACGCCTACTTCTTGACACTACATATTCTTTTCTCTGCTCTGAACGCCTGCACTGCTGCGATCAATCACCATCAAACCAGTCACTTGCAATGTGCAGCCAACGAGTTTGCGCTTCACCACGAAAACGGGTCATCTTTCTGTCATTCACTGTTGAGTTGTGGAGACATCGCCCAGATGAAGCCGGTTAAGCTGCTGGCCAGAGGAGTGGTGAAGAACATCTGGTTGATGCAGTGGCAACAGGGTGACTCTGCAACTCAGCCTCTAGTCCTATCCAAACTGGGCAATCCACAGTTCCGAGAGGACTTTGAAGCCAATCGGGCGAACTTGCTCCACTTTCGCGGTCACACTCGAGTTAGCCAGCTGTGGGGCAGCTGTGGCCGAGACACCATCTTCAGTGCATACCGCCCACACGGCAATGCCCTCAACCTTCCTCTGCTTTTTGCCCGCCACCACATCACCGCCCCAGTGGACCGCTTCTCGCTGTGCCTCGACTACGCGCAAATCATCGCCCTACTGCACCGCCACTCCATGGTCATGTGCGACTCAAACTCACTGGAGAAGACCTTGACGCAGTACCTGCTCGACGATCATTTTCAGCTGATTCTCAACGACCTGGACGCTCTGCCTCGTCTGGACGAGCGTACGAGGACGACCAAGTGCGGCCACCGAGAGGTCACCGAAGACCTGGTCGCCCCTGAGCAGAGGTGGCCTCACCAAGAGCATCCCTTCAATGACAGCCTCATGCCGGCGTACACTGAAAAGGTGGACATCTGGAAGGTGCCCGACGTCTGCCACTGGATTCTCGGCCGCCCATCACCACCACTGCCTTCACTTGCCCGCCATCTTCTTCACTACATTCACTCACAGTGCAAGCTGACAGACCCTCGAACGAGACCCACTGCCGAAGATGTGCTCCGTTTCTACAAACTGATATACTGCCTTTTGTAAAGTGTTTTTGTTTGTGATAAAATAATCAGTATAACAATGCAAAAATAATGCAAGTTTGTTCAGTGGTGAGTGGAGAGATTTCTCCAATCTTTCACCAAGAAGTTGGAGCACGGGCACGAGTAGTGCGGCGATGAATGTCCAGGTAGCTGGTGCTGCGAGTAATGCCGCTGCGGTTCTCCTGATGAGCAACGCAGACGTACGAGCCAAAGAGGGCGTCCTTCTGTGGGCCTCGCGGGTGAAAGGCACTGCTGAAGATGACCTGCTCGCTGGACCTGAGGAGACAGGTCGGGCACTTCAGAGGCGAGCCGGCCGAGCTGCGAAGCAGCGTGCGCACACATGGTTCGCAGTACTTGTGGTCGCATTGCTTCAACAAACCGTAGCGACGCCCTTCAAACGGCTCCAGGCACACCTGACACTCATCGTCGGCGACTGGGCCGGGGACCGCCACCGACGCTGGAGCGCTGACCGATGATGAGGCGGCAGCAGGAATGGCTGAAGTAGCCGAACTCACTGGGCGGCCAGGGTTCTTCAACTGAGCGTTGACAGTGGCCAGGTAGTGGCTGACATTGGCCATTGTCTCTCTGGGAGTGGAAGGGTGATCCCCAGTGAGAGAGTAGTAATCGTAGGCGAGTTGAAGCCAGCGATCCATCTGCGTGGATATCATTCGCTCGCTAGGGCGAATCGACTTTGGTTCCACCGATGACAAAGCAGAGATGGACATGGTGTGCTTGCGAGCAATTGCCGCAAGAGTAATCGACTAATCTACTGAAAGTGCTGCTTGACGTTGCTTATAAGGAAGGTATTTTCTGCAAAAGCTTTTTGTTGGAAGTTCGAATTTGCTTGAAATCTGATTTCGAATTTGACTGAAAAAACTGTTTGGCGTTAAAAAGTCACTCTACAGTTTTCCCTTCAGAACGTAGCAGAGTGGCGCAGCGGAAGCGTGCTGGGCCCATAACCCAGAGGTCGGTGGATCGAAACCACTCTCTGCTATAAACATTCTTTTTTTGTTTTGGAAAAATAGCTGAAATTTAATGCAAAAGCTGTCACTATATTTGATTAAGTACTTCAAGCTTTGATGATAAAAAACCTGATAGTGTTTGTACAATTTACAAAAATACAAGCGCTTTTAAGAACACCAATGTCAGATGAGAACAATGATAACAGAGGGTGGTTTTGATTCACTGACCTCAGGGTTCAGCACACTTTTCTGATCTACTCTGCTACACTCGTAGATAAGAATTCAACTTTGCCTCTATCCAAATCCTCCCCCTTCTGCCACAAAAAATAAGGGCGTTGCTCCGAATGCCAAAAAAATCTCTCAAACAAATTTAACTATACAAAGAGTCTTGTTATCTCAATGTTGCATCAAAACACAATACTGCTTTTCTTTAAGCAAAGTTTCGTAGACATTCCCTAGAGTATTTATTCCTTTATCAGCCATCTGTGAAAATGGCCGGACGTGTTGGCAGAATTCTGCTGTAGAATTTTTTTTGTTTTTCGCGCTGCCACGTACTTTGTGAATCGGCCGCCTGACTCGGCCTGGCGCACGCATCCCAGTGCTCACAGACAAATCATCGGCTTGCCGTCTTTGTTGTGCGATTCTTCTTCCCCATCTTCTTCATTCTTCCCCAAGCCGCGACCACCCTCATCACGCCTGTCCTAAATATTCTAAAAACCGTAAGTAATTAGGTCAAAGTATAGTTCATCCATTTGCTTCCCCAGTTGCCTAAAGCCTGATCCTAACGTTACCGTTTTTCACATGAAGACCAGAAGGATGTGCATCGATCTAGCAAAAGTAGTTAACCAATCAAAATGTTACTTGCCTTCTCATGTCTGTAATGGCACTTGAGTCACATTGCTCTTTTAGCAGAAGAATTTGTGTTTTACTTTTACTTTCGTTTTGAAAATTTAAAGTGTTCTGTGGTATTACAAAATAACACCCGCTCACTGGCGAGCTTTTTCAAAATGTGTGTCCCAAAGCGGGGTAAATCTCTTGGTGGCTTCGACCAAAGGGTCTCTCTCTCTCTCCTCTTGCTACTGCGCTCAACACAAGTGTGTCCTTCGGTTAAAGCACTCTCTATTAATCGCAAGATGTGTTGCAATTTTAACAGATAAAAAGTTTTTCCGATTCTATAATACCGACAATTTTTAATTTGAAACAAGGACATCATGGGTTCGAAGTACAACGAAGACGACATGTCTAACGGCAATTCAAAAGGAAACGACACATCGCTCATTGTCAACGTCAACGACACCCAAAGTGACATCGACGAGCACGAAGAGTCGCACTACTCTGAACCTGAAGTCAAAGGGAAGTCTTCGAGAAAGGAAAACTCCAGCAAAAAGTCAAGTCGTAACAACGACTCTTCAAAGAAAAGGTTGGTTTCTACTTCTACGTCTAATGGGGCATTGTCATTTTCGATTCATCATCACTTACTCACTCATCTCATTTCTCAGCTCTCACAAGGAAAAGGAATCCAAAAGCCGATCAAAAGGTGTGTATAGTTGTGTTTTACTCAGTAGACTGTTGGTTAATAACAATCACTTACTTTTCACTCATAGTTGACGTCTCAAAAACCCGATACTTCTGGGTCAGCGGTATTCCCGATGGCACCAAAACAGGCCAACTTGAAGAGGTTTTTTTGCAATTCGGAAAAGTTCTGGCAATCAAAATCATTCGCGGCGGTACCGACTCAACTTTGCTGGGGTTCGTCAAGATGGAGTCAGCTGAACAAGCCCAAAAGTGCATGGAAAAGCTAAACAGGACTATGTTCCGAGGAAACAAAATTGAACTTCTCAAAGTATGACGCATTTTCATAGTTTCATTAGCGCATGACCTAAAACATTGTTTCAACAAATCAGGAAAGGCCAGCTGACAAGGACAGTGGAAGCGGTATCAAGCCTGAAAAGATTGGATTCAGAGACTCCCGTAAGCCATTTATCCCTCGACCTCCCGTTCGACCACACTTTCGACCGCCGCATCACCCGCCCACACGTGGCCACTTCCGTCCTCCAATGACAAGTTCTAGAGGGGCCCTTCATCCGCCACATCGTGAGCATCACCCGCGAATCCTAGAAAAGGACCTTCGACGGCAGGAGCGTGAAGAGCTAATGAAGATTGAACGCGAAAGGGACCGCATCAAGTTGGAGCGAATGAAGCTAGAGCGAGAGAAGGCTGAACTACTGAAAATTGAGCGCGAATCGCGCGTCCTTGAGCGTGATCGCTTCCACGATGACAAGCGTATTCGCCCCATTACCAAGCGATCCATTGACGTATCGCCGTTCTTGGATGAGAAGCGCTTTGATGAATACTCTCGGTAACAGTGCCTTTCTGACTTTATCTTTACTAATTTATATTATTATAACTACTCTTCTCCCAGACGTGATGAGTTTGGTGGCCGGCGCTTTGAAGCGAGAGGCGCAAGTCCTGATCGGAAAATGGGAAGCAGCTCTGGTCGCTCTTTTGGCCCCCGAGACAGTACGCGCCAAGAGCGCTTTTCAGACAAGTACGATTCAGGCAGCAAGTGGAACACTATCACAGAAAGCTCCTGGAGCGGAAATGACCACCGTTCGTGGCACTCAAACACTGGCTACGACTCTCGCATCGCAATGAACAGCAACCTCGGCTCCAGCTCATTTTCTCGACTTCACCCAGGCTCGGAGATTTCTCAAACCGGCGGCGGCATCCCCTCAAGGGGTTATTTTGGCAACAATCGTCGATATTGAATTTGATAGCGTCTCTTGATTTACACGCACTTGAGATCATACTTGTATAACTTGTATACTGAAATAAAGAGCAGCTGATTTCACTTTTCAACTTTTGCACAATTTTGTGTTTTTCACTTCAAGCACGTCATCTACTTATGGTTTCCAATGGATAGCAGTGTTTGAATAAAAACACTGTTTTTCTCACATGTGTTTTTGTTGTTTCTGTCAACCTGACTTGACCAGGTGCTCCAACTCTGATCAGTATAATTTCCTCAATTATCAAGTTTCTCAAATATCAAATTCCAAATACCATGGCTCATCAGTTAAAAATTATGTAAGTATTTGCCTGCTTAAATATGGTGCAAAATGGACTAATTCTTGGTTACTTTCCACAGTGATAAACACGAATTGTACAACTTCATATTAAAATATGGTCTCGACATACTTCAAAAGCCAGAATTATTTGAAAGTGTCGCTCCTGGTATATCATTTTCGGAGATTAAAACTTTTTTTGATTTATACGAAAATAATGCTGATGCTGATCTAACTAATAAATGGTAAGTACAGTTTCATTCTCTTTAAAAAACTATCTTTCAAGTTTATTTTTTTGTAGGGTATCAGAAATCATGACTCAAAAACAGTTATACAAACTTGAACCACTTTATGGTGTAATGTCCGAAGTTATGGAAAGGAAGGTTGCAACACTGGAGAGTGACAACCCATACCGTGAAGTGTACCAATTTTTAGCCAGCCTACTGGGTGGCAAAATTCCTGAAAAAGCAAGTCCTCAAGCAGCAATGGTGATACTGTTGTTGATGGACGATATGAATCGTCTAGTACGAGACGTAAAGCCTGATCAGTTGCTAGCCTGCCTTAGAGCTGCCCAAGGTGAGGAGGCTTCCGAGAATAATACTCAAGACGAGGAGCTGAAACGGCGACTGCTATCCTCCTTCAAGTTCCAGCGCATTAGTGAGTTTATGAATCCACTGGAAGTGAGCAGCAAGGCCACCGAAAGGGTGCACGAGTGTATCTTCAAGCAGTCCTCCAGTGCAGGCAAGGAGAAGTGAACCTCTTCTGCTGCACATCGCCCAAAACTAAAATGGTAAACAGTGTACGTGTTGAACAGTATTGCCTCAAACACCGCAAAGAGCACACAAACACAATAATAAAAATAAAATAAAACTACCGTACAACTGCCTATCTTTAAATAGCGTCCTCCTGTCGACACACTTGGAGACATTCCAGTGGGAGCAGCAACTGAAGCAGGCAATTGGCATTCCTCGGTAGTCGCAGGCGAACAGGAGAACAGCAGCACTAGTGTTCTAGCAGGGCAGATAGTTCATCCCAATTGTGATAGATATCTCTTCGGCTGGATCATTTGTTTACTTCGCCGTTCGGTCTCTGTCGTATGAAAGTCGACAGTTGCCTGTGATCGCCTGCCTCGACACATCGCACATATATTATCATATCACCGAAGTGGTAGAAGAGGTGCAGTGCAGCAACAGCAGCAGCAACACAGTGCACAAGAGTCTCACCCCATCTGAGCACCAATCTCAAGGCAAGCACTGCCATCACCATCACCATCATCATCAACTGTGGCTACTGCAGCAGCAGCAGTAGTGCCCGTCAGGAGCGCGCGCCCAGTACGAAGCAACAGACATGCATGATTTGGCGTGATTGGCCATTTCCGACCAGGCTGCACAGGCAGCAGCAGCCCCCTCTCGGGCAATCTCTCTCTTTCTTTCTTTCTGGTTGCAGCAGCAGCAGCAGCAGCAGAGTCTCTGCTGCTCTGGCCGGTCACACAAATCATCAGAGAGCATGAGACCGACTGCTGTACACTAGTGCTGTTCGTTGTAAGTTGTGAGTGTCTTCTTCTTCTTCTTC